CCCCCCACCACCCACCACCACCACCCCCCCAACACCACCACCACCCCCCCCCCCCCCCACCACCCTACCACCCCCACCACACCACCCCCACCACTACCCCCACCACCACCCCCCCCACTTACCCCCACCACCACCCCCACCACCCCCATTCCCACCCCACCATACCCCCACCCCCCCAACCCCACCACCACTCCCCACCACTACCACCACCACCACTCCCACTACCCCACCCCCACTCCCAAACCGCCCCCCCGCCGCCGCCACAAATTGACCTACTATACCCCCCCCCCTCCCCCCCCTTCCCCACCACCACCACCCCCACCCCCCCCACCCCCCCCCCCCAATAACCCTCTTTCCCCCACCCCCACCACCCAATAACCCTTTTCCCCCACCCCCACCACAACCCCCCCCCCCTCCTGCCTATACATTATTAGCCTTCCTGTCCTCTTCTGGTTAGGTGATTTGTAAATGGCCCAAGTCGGACCAAAAACGCTCGAAGCTCTCTCTTCTATGTGGGGGGTTATTTGGTTTTTTACCTTCCCTTTTTGCTGATGGACCCACCTTTCATCCGGGCTCTTCATTGACTTTTTGACAACAACTGACTTACCCAAAAAACTTGGAGATCCCTTTAGCACTCCCCCGCCCTTTACCTCAATCCTTGCAAACCCTTTACCCTCCATACCCCCTGCCCCATGTTTTTTGTAACCTACTAATCTTCCCCTCCCCTTTGCCGCCCGATACCCTCGCTTCCCTTCCCTGCCCTGTAGCCGTATGCCCTTGAGTTTGCGCTTTTTTTTGATTATAAAAATAAAATACAGAAGGCCCCATTTAAACGGGGGGTTGGTTCCGGGTCCCGCCGTAAAGGGGAAATCGCCGTAAAGGGAACACCCTTTTTTTCCATTTAAACATACAAACATAAAAACAAGTTTACACAACATATTTTAATTTAGAAATAGAACCAGGCATAAAAAAAACAATTAAAAAGGAAAATACAAATGTGCATCATTATTCCCTTTAAAAATTTTTATAGTCTTAATTAGGGTGAGACAAGTATTTTTTTATTGTAAGAAATCAAGTGGGTATGTATTGTAATGCCTCACCAGGCCACCCCCCCCACACAACTATTCATGAATTTAAGCCCCCAGACGAAAAAAATGTATATACAGTTCACTCATTACTTCCCTTAAAAAATATTTGTAGTTTAATGTGGGGCAGGAGTAAGTAATGAGTAAAACGAATAAATGAGAGAAAAAAAAAGAAACATGGAGGGGGAGGCCAGTTTTTGTAAAAAACCAGGCAAGGTAAGTTTTGTAAAAAAACGAAGGTAAAAAGTCGGTTTTTGTACAAGTTACTTGTGTACGGTTTTTCTTAATTGATACGGGAGAATTTTAAGAAGAACACTCCCATTCTCATTAAATCATTTTGGAAAAATGAAGCTCTGAGTGAAGGCAAAGAAAAAGTCACACGACTTTTTTGGGTTATCCTAGGGTTTTCACACTAGTTGTTATGTATGATAACTATGTAATGTATTTGTGTATCTGAAAAAACTTACTTTCAACATACGAAAGGAATAAAAATTTCTCAGTTTTCCCCGTAACAATTTACTCTTTGTTAGATTGAGAAAAATGTTTTTTGGCGTCACTTTAAAAGTTATGTGGCTCCCCCATTTAAATTTTTTTTTATTTTTTCATTGTGGGTGTATTACATCTTTTTTTGTTATGTATGTTTTTTTATATAATTTTGAAAAAAAAAATATGGATGGATTAATGAAAATGTTATATTACCGTAAAATACACATTTAATGAGCTCGGTATTTTTATTATCACCCCCTTGTGCAAGTCTTTTGCTACGACATCTCACATTTGTTTATTTATTCTATGTGGGGTGTTTTTATCTTTTTATATTTATGCATCGTGTTTTTTTATATGATTTGAAAAAAAAAATCATGGATGGGTTTAAAGAAAATGTTATATTACCGTAATATCGACTTTAATGAGATCAGTATTTTTATTATCACACTTGTGCAAATCTCTGTACGAATCTCACATTTTTTTTTTATTTACTGTGGGGGGATTTATTTATTTATATGTTATGCCGTGTTTTTTTAATTTTTAAAAAAAAAATCATGGATGGGTTAAGAAAATGTGTATATTAACGTAAAATACCAATTTAAATGACTCGTGTATGAAGTTTATTTAGGTTTCAGGTTAATAAGTAATTATCGAGTATATATAAAATAAAATAACTTTTAAAAAAATTTGAAATTTTTGGAGTTTTCCCGAAAAAATGGGGGGGGGCTTAGTGCTTACTGAATATGGAGGTTAAAAAAAACAGGGGGGGGCACGGTGACCTATTGAAAGTCAGGTGGGGGGACGTAAGTGAGTTTGGTTTATAATTTGAAAAATTTCCCTATTAGCGGAAAGCCGTAAAATGAAACGCCGTAAAGGGGCCTTCCTGTAATATTTTTTGTATGCATACTGGTCAGAGACCTGTCGTAAGTCCGAGTCATTTTAAACGAGTAGTCGGTAGTGAGGAGAAGCTGTACTAATCATTTGAGCTTTTTAAAAAAAGTTTAAGATGGTTTTTTTCAAAGATATGTAAGTTACAACTTTTATTGAAACATTTTTATGAATAGAAAATTTGAAAAAATTTTTTCCTGAAAAAAATGAACTTTTAAATCAGGCCTTTTTCATAATCATCTGGTTTTGGGATCTTGCGGGGGTGATTTTTTACACACCAACAATTTTTTTTTTTTTTTTTTTTCAAAAAAATTTGGGCCAAACCCCCTGAGAGGGTGGGGGACCTAGAAGAATTTTTTTTTTATATCAACGGCCGATTTCCCCCCAAGGAGGGTGGGGGCCCAAAAAGAAAAACTTTCACCATCATTCACCCCCACTGTCTTGCCAGAAGGGTTGCTTTCCACTACAGTTTTTAAACTGCCAACATTAACCCCCCCCTTCAGAGTGCGGCCTGTATTTCCCCATCTCCAGGTCAATCGGCCTCCCGGGTTTTCCCTGAATCCCTTTAAATGTTATTTTGCCACACCCCAACAGCCGTAAAGTAAAAAAACCCATTTGCTCCATTCATCCTATCAACACGCTCACGCATGCCTGCGGGAAGTCCAACCCCCTCGCACACAAAACCTCCTTTACCCCCCCCCCAACCCTTTCCCTGGGCCGCCCCCTACCCCCCCTTTCCTTCCACTACAGACTGTACATCTTGAAGTATTCTGTTTTGCTCCCTTTTCTTACATGTCCGAACCCCCTCAAAACCCTTCCTCAGCCCCCTGGACAAAAGTTTTGGTAATCCCGCACCTCCTCCCAATTCCAAACTCAATTCTCTGCATTTTAATTCACACCCCACATTGCCCTAGACATGACATCTCCACTGCCTCCCCGCCTTCTCCCCGCTGCAACATTCTTTACCCCCGCTTAACCCATTTTAAGAGCTGGTAAAAAATATACTCTCATAATTCCCCCCCTTTGCCCCCAAGGCAAAATTCTTTGCCCCACAGACTCCTAAGTGCACCACTCACTCTTTTTTTTCCCCATAAAATTTTAGATTCACCTCATCTTTAAGACCCCTCCCCTGACACGTCCCCCCCAAATATCTGAATTTACCCCCTCCCTACTCTCTCCCCCCAATTGATATTCAATCTTTCATCACCTAATCTTTTTGTTATCCTCATAACCCCTTTCTTTTCCCGTATTCACCTTTAATTTTCTTTTTTTTGCACACCCTACCAAATTCATCCACCAATTCTGCAACTTCTTTCAGAATCTCCCCAAAGCCCGTTCTCCCAAAAAGGGAGCTGGACAATCCCCTTTGTTTGTGATTCTTTATTTTTAATCCACGCCTCTTTCCAAACCCCCCGCATTAATTTCTTTGAAAGAAAAAACAAAAGTTTTTCTTTTTAACCCTAGTAATGTGTACAGGAGAAGGGGTTACTAGCCCCTTGCTTCTCACATTTTAGTCGCCCCTTATGACACGCTAGTGATGTGGAAGAGTTTTGTTCCACTTTCCCCCTGGGGATAGAGAAAATAAAGAACGTGAACTATTAACAAAATTGAAGAAAACCCAGATGTGTGTTAGTATATATCTTCTTTCAACAAATTGGCTGTATCCCACTGAGGCAGGGTGGCCCAGATGGAAAAACGAAAGTTTCTCTTTTTAAATTTAGTAATATAAACAGAAGAATGGGTTACTAGCCCCTTACTCCTGGCATTTTAGTTGCGTTTTACGATACACATTGTTCACGGAGAAAGAACTCTGTTCCATATCCCCATGGAGATAAGAGGAAATAAACAAGAGCAAGAAGTAGTAAGGAAATAGAAAGAGGGGCATATGTATATATGTGCTTGTCTATGCATGTGCACTATGACCTAAGTGTAAGTAGAAGTAGCAAAACATACCTGAAATCTTGCGTGTTTATGAGACAGACAAAAAACACCAGCAATCCTACCATCATGTAAAACAATTACAGGCTTCCATTTCACACTCACTTGGCAGGACGGTAGTGCCTTCCTGTGTGGCTGCTGTCTCAACCTATTGCCTTAAACACCAGCAGTTATTATCCTTTAATATTTGCTATTAAACTACAATTTGGAGAGGAAATTTTTGACTATTTGGTCTTTCTTGGATCATTATGAAGTCACATTACTGGTTGTGACTTGATAATGGTTTAGGGCAGTCAGTAATGTTGTATAATGTTTCCCCTATAATTGTTGGCTAATGGTGAATTGTTCAAGCCATTATACTGTGACTGTTATTCTTCATCCCTTTACATATTTTGAGAATTTCATCCAGGTTTCATCTTTAGACTGGGCAAAAGGCATTGGACATTGGCTGGATATGTTTGAAGAAAGGATATAATATCACTTTGTGTAATTTGTAAAGTTAACACAATATATTTATGTACAGTATTATGTATTGTATTCTTTGATTGTTACACATTATTTGTATTAATTTGAAAAATGTTAATGATTTGTGTGTTGCTGTAGGTTAAAGAAGCTTACATAAACTTCCTCAACCACTGTTACATCGACACTGAAGTTGAAATGAAAGAAATCTATAATTCTCATCATATTTGGAGTTTGTTTGAGAAGTCATTCCTGGTAGATATGGGTCGAGTAGCCACTGCTCCTCCTGACCGAAGATATGCTGACAAGTAAGTTCTGTTACTCTTTACGTAGATAACTTGCGCATAGGACACTGAAACTTATGATGACATTTCAGTCTGACTTAACCATTAACTAGTTACATTCATGTGAATAGTCATGCTTGTGTGACTTGTTAATGGTTCAAATTGGACCAAAACATTGTCATAAGTTTCAGTCTCCTAAGTGTGGGTTATTTGTGTCTTGTTTTAGTCATGGTATTGTGTCTTTTTATTCTTTCTGTTTCTGTTTGTTTATGAAAAGTGTAGTTCATGCAGTATGAATAGAATATTCCTCGTTTTTTAGTTTTGATTGAGGTAGCAGAACTCTGTTTCCACAGACATTTAATATTCGGTTTCTTGGGCTGATTCATTGCCATGAGTATTAAGTACTGAGCAGTGAAATGGAGGTGACCTGCTACACCCTGCAGTCGTTGGTGTCTTAGTACAGTGGAACCTCGACTTACAAGTTTCCCTACTTATGAGTTTTTTGAGATAGGAGCTGTCACTCTGTCAGTTTTTTGCTCTGAATTATGAGCCAACATCCAAGTTACAAGCACGCTTCCCCCACTTCCCTCTTAACCCACAACCTGCACACCTTGCTTGTTTATCTTCTTCTTTCAACAAACTGGCTGTATCTCACTGATGCAGGGTGACCCAGAAGGAAAAACGAAAGTTTTTCTTTTTAAATTTAGTAATATAAACAGAAGAAGGGGTTAGTAGCCCCTTGTTCCTGGTATTTTAGTCACCTCTTACGACATGTATGGCTTACAGAGGAAGAATTCTGTTCCACTTTCCCATGCGAGATAAGTGGAAATAAACGAGAACAAGAACTGGTAAGAAAGAAGAAAACCAGAGGGATTTGTATATAACTGCATGTACATGTATGTGTAGTGTGACCTAAGTGTAAGTAGAAGTAGCAAGACGTACCTGAAATCTTGCATGTTTCTTCTTCTTTAGGTTAAAGCATTGGCTTAAGCCGGTGGGAGAATTGGACCTGCCTTGCATGGGTCAGTAGGTCTTCTGCAGTGTTCCTTCTTTTTTATGTTCTTGTGTTCTTTCTTTCAAAGCACCGACCATATCCCACCAAGGCGGGGTGGCCCAAAAGCAAAAACAAAAGTTTCTCCTTTTACATTTAGTAATATATGTATACAGGAAAAAGAATTACTAGCCCATTGCTCCCAGCATGATAGTCGCCTCTTTCGACACGCATGGCTTACGGAGGAAGAATTCTGTTCCACTTCCCCATGGAGACAAGAGGAAATAAATAAGAACAAGAACTAGTAAGAAAATAGAAGAAAACCCAGAGGGGTGGGCATATATATGCATGTGTAGTGTGACCTGAGTGTAGGTAGAAGTAGCAAGACGTACCTGAAGTCTTGCATGTTTATGAGACAAAAAAGTCACCAGCAATCCTACCATCATGTAAAACAATTACAGGTTTCTGTTTCACACTCACTTGGCAGGGCAGTAGTACCTCCCTGAGTGGTGGTTGTCTGCAACCTACTACCTAGGTCTATATAACATACTGAAGTTAAAGTTTAATTCCCTTTGAAATGGTGTTTCAATAAGTTTAAGCAATGTAGTCATAGACAAAAATAAGCATTAAAATATGTTGTATTCAGTAAATTCAGCATTTACTACCTCCTGTTGTAGGTTGTTTCACTTTCTACACTGTGATAAACTTTCTAGTATATTTTCAGTACCTCTTGTTTGGTATAGAGTTATGGCTTCTCTGCTCTTGTTGTAAAGACATCTTCCTCTTTTATAGCCTTATACTATGTGAGGTAAAAAACCTTCACTTTAAAGAAGGGGTTTGGGATATTGGCTGTTGGGTGTGACATCTAAACTGTCATGTCTGGGCACTTCTGCAAAGACAGTGATTATGTGTAAATGATGGTGACAGTGTTTCTTTCTTTTTTGGGTCACCCTGCTTCAGTGGGAGATGGTCGGCATGTTAAAAAAAAAAATGTAATTATCATGTCTTCTCTTACTAAGCTTCTGGTTTTATGATGATCACACTCAATTCTCTTTGAAATATGTTCATGGTTCTCTGGCCATCTACACTTTTGTTTATGTCTATTCATGTTTCAGTCCATAAAATTGATGAGGGAAAAAAAGGTGAGTGGTGCATTGAGGTATATGTGGAGACAAAAAAACTTTATCAGTGGAGGCAAAGAAGGGATTGTATGAAAGTACACTGGTACCAACACTCTTATATGGGTGTGAAGCTTGGGTTGTAAATGCTACAGCAAGGAGGCAGTTGGAGGCAGTGGAGATGTCCTGTCTAAGGGCAATGTGTGGTGTAAATATTATGCAGAGAATCAGAAGTGTGGAAATTAAGAGAAGGTGTGGAGTTAATAAAAGTATTAGTCAGAGGGCTGAAGAGGGGTTGTTGAGGTGATTTGGTCATTTAGAGAGAATGGATCAAAGTAGAATGACATGGAGAGCATATAAATCTGTAGGGGAAGGAAGGCGGGGTAGGGGTCATTCTCAAAAAGGTTGGAGGGAGGGAGTAAAGGAGGTTTTGTGGGTGAGGGGCTTGGACTTCCAGCAAGTGTGCACGAGCGTGTTAGATAGGAGTGAATGGAGATGAATGGTTTTTGGGACATGTTGAGCTGTTGGAGTGTGATCAGGGTAATATTTAGTGAAGGGATTCAGGGAAACCAGTTATTTTTATATAGCCGGACTTGAGTTCTGGAAATGGGAAGTACAATGTCTGCACTTTAAAGGATGGGTTTGGGATATTGGCAGTTTGGAGGGATGTGTAATAGGATGGTAGATATGTATAATTGGGCCCTGATATTATCTTCTATAGGGAGTTTATTATATTATTCAGGTCACTTTTTATATTGTATCTTTATATATGCTTCTAAGCTGTTGTATCTGGGCGCCTCTGCAAAAACAGTGATTATGTATGAGTGAGGTGAAAGTGTTGAATGATGAAAGTATTTTCATTTTGGGGATTTTCTTTCTTTTTGGGTCACCCTGTCTAGGTGTTGAAAAAAAAAAAGTTTCAATACCATCATTTCAAATTTAGCACCATGGCTTAATTGTTTCAAGCTGATGTCCTTTATCAGATAAGCAAAACAATTTTTGGTTTCAGTGTTAAGTCCTGGTTTTTATGCTGCCTGATTAATCTACAGGATTCTGAATAGCTTTCAGATTTGTATGTAGGATGTTCTATTTTGCAGACTTCTTTCTGTACTCCAATCTTTTCTTCCTTTCATTGTGTGCTTCCTATTTCATGCATTTTTCTTTACATATATGTTGTATTGTGCAGTGTTAGGGATCTTATTTAAACCACTTATTCCTTCCCTTTCTTACTCTCTCCCAACAACCTTCACAATTATGATTGTACCATGTTTGGGGCCATTTCTGTCCATTATTCTTACCACTCTTGATTTTCAGTTGGAGTACCAAAAGATACTATTGCTAATCTGTCTTTATTCCTGGTAACTGCTAGTAGCTCCTCTTTCAGTTTTATCTTCAAAACAGCATTGCCTGTCTTGGCACTGCCATTGTCTGATGTTGTTAGATATATTGCTCTGTTTTTTTCTTCTTTCTTTCAACACACTAGCTGTATTTTACCAAGGCAGGGTGGCCCAAAAAGAAAAACAAAAGTTTCTCTTTTTAAATTTAGTAATATATACCAGAGAAAGGGTTACTAGCCCCTTGCTCTCAGCATTTTAGTCACCTCTTACGACATGCATGGCTTAAGGAGGAAGAATTCTGTTCCACTTCCCCACAGAGACTTTTTTTTTTTTTCATTCTTCTGTATTTTCTTAGCTTAATTCACCTTTGTTGTTGTTAACTGATCCTAGAGCTACTGTCTGGCAACACATTCTGTCTTTCCCCCTCTCTGCCTCAGTGGCACTTCATCTTGAACATAAATATTTTCCACTTTAAAATGTACTACATGAGAGTACTTTTATATCTCATTTTGGCCCATAGGTGTCAGTCTGAAACAATAGTCACCACTATCTGCCCTTTCTTATACATTTGCAAGAAAAGTATGCACACTTTACAATGTATATACGTGGCATGATTGAGCCGAGGAGGGTGTTGATTTTGGGAGTGTGTGTGCCTGTGTGTATGTACAATACTTATGTACGGTAAGATTTTTTTATTTTTTTTTTTTAACACATCGGCTGTTTCCCACCAAGGCAGGGTGACCCAAAAAGAAAGAAAAATACTTTCATCATCATTCAATACTTTCACCATCACTCATACATGATCACTGTCTTTGCAGTGGCGCTCAGATACGACAGTTTAGAAGTCTCCCAAACTGTTAATATCCCAAACCCCTCCTTTACAGTGCAGGCATTGTACTTCCTATTTCCAGGACTCAAATCTGGCTAACAGATTTCCCTGAATCCCTTCACAAAATGCTTGCTGGAAGTCCAAGCCTCTCGCCTACTAAACCTCCTTTTCCTCCTCCCTCCACCCTTTTCGAGAGTGACCCCTGCCCCACCTTCCTTCCCCTACAGATTTATATGCTCTCCAAGTCATTGTACTTTGTTCCATTCTTTCTAAATGACCAAGCCACCTCAACAACCACTCTTCAGCCCTTTGACTAATCCTTTTAGTAACTCCACACCTCCTCCTAATTTCCTCACTCTGAATTCTCTGCATAATATTTACACCACACATTGCCCTTAGGACATCTCCACTGCCTCCAGCTGCCTCCTTGGTGCAGCATTTACAACCCAAGCTTCAAACCCATATAAGAGTGTTGGTACCACTATACTTTCATACATTCCCTTCTTTGCCTCCATGGATAACATTTTTTGTCTCTATAAATACCTCAATGCACCACTCACCTTTTTGCCTTTATCAATTCTAAAAGCACAGTATCATCAGCAAAAAGTAGCTGTGTCATCTCCCATTTTGCATTTGATTCCCCATAATTTAATCCCTCCCCCTCCCCAGCACCCTAGGATATACTTCTTTTACAACCCCATCTATAAATATATTAAACAATCATGGTGACATTACACATCCCTGTCTAAGACCTACTTTTACTGGGAAGTAATCTCCGTCTAAGACCTACTTTTACTGGGAAGTAATCTCCGTCTCTCCTACACGCCCTAATGTGAGCCTCACTATCCTCATAAAAACTCTTTACAGCATTTAGTAACTTACTACCTATTCCATACAATTGCAACATCTTCCACATTGCTTCCCTATGCATTCTGTCATATGCCTTTTCCAAATCCATGAATGCAATGAAAACCCTACCTTAATCTAAATACTGTTCACATATATGCTTCAATGTAAACACTTGATCTTCACATCCCCTACCCACTCTTAAGCCTCCCTGTTCATCTGCAATCCTACTCTGTGTCTAACCTCTAATTCTTTCAGTAATAACCCTACCATTCACTTTAGCTGGTATACCCAGTAAACTTATTCCCCTATAATTTTTACACTCTCTTTTGTCCCCCTTCCCTTTATATAAAGGAACTATGCACGCTCTCTGCCAATCCCTAGGTACCTTCCCCTCTTTCATACATTTGTTAAACAAAAATACCAACCACTCCAACACTATATCCGCCCCTGGTTTTAACATTTCTGTCATGATCCCGTCAGTTCCAACTGTTTTACCTCCCTTTCATTCTACTTAATGCCTCACGCACCTCCCCCTACACTCACATCCTGCTCTTTTTCACTCCTAAAAGATGTTATACCTCTCTGGCCAATGCATGAAATTACTGCCTCCCTTTCTTCATCGACATTTGGAAATTCCTCAGTGTATTCCCGCCATTTACCCAATACCTCCATTTCCTCATCAACTATTGTTATTCTCTATAAAATGCATTTTGTGTTAATATTTTTGGGTGTCTAGAATGGTTTAATTGGATTTACATTATTTCTTATGGGAAATATTAACAAAAAGTACATTTTATAGAGAATAACAATAATTTTGCATACAGAAAAGGGACTACTAAATTTGAGGGTCCACTGTATATTAAAAGATACATAAGTACTTTTCTTGAAAACAGTTGGTAACACTTACTTGTGTCTTACAGAGCACTGGAGAACTATGTGATCAACTCACTCATGACAATCATCACAACATTCTTCAACAGTCCATTCTCAGATCAGAGTCAAACTATTCAGGTAAGATATTTAGAATCCATGAAAAATAACATTTATACTGTGGCATATGCAAAATTTAAGGACATGTGCTTCTGTCCAGATATAGTGTAAAGTTGCTTTAAGTTGTAAGGACCAGATTGCATCCTGAACTTTATTTTTGTATGCAGTATATGGAATGGCTTAATGGTGTAAAGCCAAGAAAATTAGTCACTATATATCTTGACAAATTTGTGAACAGGAAGTTTTTTTTTTTAACTCGCCAGCCATTTCCCACCGGGGTAGGGCAACTCGAAACAGAGGATGTTCATCCAATCACTGTTTTTCCAGAAGCTTGTTAAGATAACAATTCAGATGGCCTTCTGAACTGCAGCACTTCCACCCCTCCTTCAGGGTGCAGACACTGTACTTTCCACTTCCAGGTAGCCAGTTTCTCATAATTGTTACAATGAAGCCAACAGCATATGAAGTCAAAAATCACTGGCTTTCACTCCTGTGTAAAAGGCTCACATAAGCATTCAAAGGCTCACATAAGCATTCAGAACTCCTTTAACCTCCCTCCCCCTCCAACCTTTCTTGGAATGTTAACTGGAATGACTCTTACCCCTCCTTCCCTCCTCCCCAGATTTATACACCTGTGTAGTCTCCTGTTTTGCTCTTTCTCTGTTTGTTCAAACCTCTTTGATAGCCCTTCCTCTGCCCTCTTAATATTTTCATTGACCCTCACACCTCCCAGGGGCATAGCCAGGGGGAAGGAAAAGCAAGCTGTTTTGCCAGGTTCCATTCCTTCTAGGGGGACCCGGACACATTCATAGAACACAGTAGTGAAGCATGGCACTTGACCTAATGACAAGTCAGACTTGCACCCACTCTTGTACCTGTGTTAATCTAGTTTTTAAAGCTATTAAGATGAATTAAAGATAAATAGAGTAGTGGTCATATTAGGTTATTATAAGTCAAACAATGCTGACCTCTCCTTAAGAGGTTGGAATGCACTACTAAAGGGATCTCTAGGTCTCGATAATTTCTAGATGAATGAAAGGCTTATTTTTTAACCACAGTCAGTGAATTAATGAAAGCATACCTGTTATCCAGTCATAAGAACATAAAAATGGAGGAACATAGGCCTACTGGCCCATGCTAGGCAGGTCCTTCTCAAGCCTAGTCCTTCTCACTCATATATTTGCCCAACCTAATTAACATGAGAATAAGAATGGAGGAACACTGCAGTAGATTCATTGGTTCATACAAGGGCTTTCTCAAATCCAAATATTTTTGCTCACATATTTATGTATTTCAAATCTTTTGCTGTGTTCACCCTTACATGCACTATTTACAGATTACTTGCCCTATATATTATTTTTAAATTATGTAAAACTTCATTATTTATGTGATCAGCAATATAAATTTTAATTTGTTACATTTTTACAATAAAAGCCAAATTCTAAGGACATTCTTGGTGTCCTTATAAATCAGCCTACACCCTGCTCCTTATAAATGTTATACACTTTTTTTATTTTTTGTTAGAGAGGGAGAGGGGGGTTGTAGATGAATGGTTCAAAGAACCGACACGTTAAATTAGACACATGTGCAACTCTTGGGTATCTTTATTGAGGAAACGTTTCGCCACACACAGTGGCTTCATCAGTCCATACAAAGGATAAACTTGAAGAACAGGAGGAGAATGAGGTAATCAGTCCCTCAACCTTGAGTCGATGTGGTCAGTCCATCAATCTTGAATAGAATACGGCATTTGAGCGGAGAAGCAGCTTATAAACCGTATGGCAGGAGAGGTGCAGCAGTCGTAGGTGGTGTTACATTTGTCCAATGTGGAAGTAGGTCGTGCCCAAGGGTTAGGCAAGCGAAGAATTCCCAAGTATTAAGATCCCAAGAAGTTGCAGTGTCTGACAGGATTGCAGATGAATGGTCAGACACTGCAACTTCTTGGGATCTTAATACTTGGGAATTCTTCGCTTGCCTAACCCTTGGGCACGACCTACTTCCACATTGGACAAATGTGACACCACCTACGACTGCTGTACCTCTCCTGCCATACGGTTTATAAGCTGCTTCTCCGCTCATATGCCGTATTCTATTCAAGATTGATGTACTGACCACATCGACTCAAGGTTGAGGGACTGATTACCTCATTCTCCTCCTGTTCTTCAAGTTTATCCTTTGTATGGACTGATGAAGCCACTGTGTGTGGCGAAAACGTTTCCTCAATAAAGATACCCAAGAGTTGCACATGTGTCTAATTTAACAACAGGGAGAGGGGGGCCTGACTATGTGCTTAGTGTCATATTGTTGATAGTGTACAGTACTAATAAGTTGACAAATAAGACACATTAGTAACACTTGGCTATCTCTGTTGTTGAAACATTTTGCCTGTATAACAAACTTCAACTGTATTTGACTAAAGTTTGTTGTGTTGGCAAAATGTTTCAACATTAAAGATGCCCAAGTGTTGCAAATGTCTTATTCATCAATGTACCTTATCCCAGACCCCAAGATGGCTGGTTATGCCCCTTCTATCTCCTAATCTCCAAGCTCTGAATTCTTTGCATCATAGTCACACCACACATTGCCCTCAAACATGATTTCTGTTTTGCCTCCTACTTCCTCTTCGGTATAATGTTTAAAACCTATGCTTGACACCAATATAGCAGCCATGGTACAACTAGACACTTGCAGTCCCCTTTTTACCTTCAAGGGTAAACTTCTCTGTCTCCATAGATGCCTCAGTGTATCACCCACTTTTTCTTCCTCATCATTTCTGTGACTTGTTGTTCATAGACCCATCCATTGGCAAGTGTTGGTACCACTATACTTTCATACATTCCCTTCTTTGCCTCCATGGATAAAATTTTTTGTCTCCACATACCTCAACTCACCACTCACCTTTTTTTCTTCATCAATTCTGTGGTTGACCTCATCCTTCATAAACCCATCTGCTGACAAGTCAACTCCCAAATATCTGAAAACATTCACTTCTTCCATACTCCCTCTCTCCAATGTGATATTCAGTTTTTCTTTCTCTAAATCATTTGATACCCTCATCACCTTTCTTTTATCCGTGCTCAATTTCAACTTTCTACCTTTACACACCCTCCCAGACACATCCACTAACCTTTGCAACTTTTCATTAGAATCTCCCATAAGCACAGTATCATCAGCAAAAAGTAACTGTGTCAACTCCCATTTTGTATTTCATTCTGCATAATTTAATCCCACCGCTCTCCCCAACACCTTAACATTTACTTCTTTTACAACCCCATCTATAAATATTTTAAACAACCATGGTGATATTACACATCCCTGTCTAAGACCCTCTTTTACCAGGAAGTAATCTCCCTCTCTTATACACACCCTAATGTGAGCCTCACTATCCTCATAAAAACTCTTTACAGCATTTAGTAACTTATTACCTATTCCATACACTTGTAGCATCTGCCACATTGCTCCCTTATCCACTCTATCATATGCCTTTTCTAAATTCATAAATGCAATGAAAACTTCCCTACCTTTTTCCAAATACAGTTCACATATATGCTTCAATGTAAACACTTGATCCACACATCCCCTACTCGCTCTAAAGCCTCCTTGCTCATCTGCAATCCTACTCTCTGTCTTAGCTCTTTTCCTGGTAAACTCGGTAGGGGTCGTCCTTTTCAAGGACGACCCCTACCCCTCCTTCCCTCCCCTACAGATTTAAATGCTCTCCATGTCATTCTACTTTGATTCATTCTCTCTAAGTGATCAAACCACCTCAACAACCCCTCTTCAGCCCTCTGACTAATACTTTTATTAACTCCACACCTTCTCCTAATTTCCACACTCCCAATTTTCTGCATAATATTTACACCACACATTGCCCTTAGACAGGACATCTCCACTGCCTCCTCGCTGCTGCATTCACAACCCAAGCTTCACACCCATATAAGAGTGTTGGCACTACTATACTTTCATACATTCCCTTCTTTGCCTCCATAGATAATGTTATTTGTCTCCACATATACCTCAATGCACCACTCACCTTTTTTCCCTCATCAATTCTATGATTAACCTCATCCTTCATAAATCCATCCACCAACACGTCAACTCCCAAATATCTGAAAACATTCACTTCTTCCATACTCCTCTTTCCCAATTTGATATCCAATTTTTCTTTATCTAAATCATTTGATACCCTCATCACCTTAGTCTTTTCTATGTTCACTTTCAACTTTCTACCTTTACACACACTCCCAAACTCGTCCACTAACCTTTGCAATTTTTCTTTAGAATCTCCCATAAGCACAGTATCATCAGCAAAAAGCAATTGTGTCAATTCCCATTTTGTATTTGATTTCCCATAATTTAATCCCACCCCTCTCCCGAACACCCTAGCATTTACTTCTTTTACAACCCCATCTATAAATATATTAAACAACCATGGTGACATTACACATCCCTGTCTAAGACCTACTTTTACCGGGAAGTAGTCTTCCTCTCTTCTACACACCATAACCTGAGCCTCACTATCCTCATAAAAACTCTTTACAGCATTTAGTAACTTACCACCTATTCCATATACTTGCAGCATCTTCCACATTGCTCCCCTATCCACTCTCTCATATGCCTTTTCAAAATCCATAAATGCAATAAAAACTTCCCTACCTTTATCTAAATACTGTTCACATATATGCTTCAATGTAAACACTTGATCTACACATCCCCTACTCAGTCTAAAACCTACTTGCTCATCTGCAATCCTAAATTCTGTCTTACCACTATTTCTTTCAGTTATAACCCTACTGTACACTTTTCCTGGTATACTCAGTAATCTTATTCCTCTATAATTTTTACAATCTCATTTGTCCCCCTTCCCTTCATATAAAGGGACTATACATGCTCTCCGCCAATCCCTAGGTACCTTCCCCTTTTTCATACATTTATTAAACAAAAATACCAACCACTCCAACACTATATCCCCCCCTGCTTTTAACATTTCTGTCATGATCCCGTCAGCTCCAGCTGCTTTA